GATACCCAATATTTGTCTAAATCCAATAGGATGAATATGAGAACATTTGTACTTGGCAATTATAGTCCATATGATCTTCAAGAAGGCGAATATCGTACCCAAAAACATATTATTGTATTTCACCATAACCCACAGTTTAAAATGTAGGCATAACCTATTTTCCAGTACAGTGGAGCTGTGCCCAAACTGCATGGGTTAACTGCTTGTTTTGTCCAGGGGCGCAAGGAAAAGCCATACTTACCCAATCTTTTGATTTTCCGAAAAAACAGCGCTCCCCCATGTCCAGTGTTGGACTGTTCCTGCCATCCTCATGTCCAGAGCTGGTCTATGGTCATGATGATGTCGGGAACAGCCCATTAACAAGACCGCTAGTGACTGGTCTTGCGCTGATTAGGTAAGTACATCCCCAGTCTACTCACCCCTAGACAAAAATTAGAATTTAACCCATTCAGTATGGGCACAGCCCCACTGCATGGAAAAAAAATCACAATTTTGCCCAGAGCTCTTTTTTAAGGTCATCAGGGCTTTAAAATCTTGATACTTCTGGCCAGTAACTCTCCTAATACAGCAACTGAGTTTCCTACATAGGTTCACACAGGAAATCCCTATTTTAAAAGCATCGCAAGTTCTTATTTTAACTGAAGCCCTGATAAAGGGGATATTCCTCTGACCCTTGAAACGTGTTGCCTGTTTTTTTTTTTTTAGAGTAAACCAGTAAAATTAATGTGGACTCTTTTATCCTTTAGTCTAGTGCCCCTTCCATTGGTACATGGTTTTTTTTCTGGTAACCTGCTGGGTATTCACTGTAGGGTAGCCCTGTCTGTTGTGAGCAGCCTAACCTGAGCCAGTGAGTTTTCCAAATGTTTTTGTCCTCTCGTTACACTCCTATCAAAATCCAAGCACCTCTTGGATGTCTTTTTCTCCATGAGTATCCCAGGAGGCAACAGGCAATTGAATAAGTTATTCTCAGCTAGGTGAGAATCCAAAATGTGCTGGTAGTGTGTTCCCCAAAAAGGGTCACTCCAACTGTTGGGGGTGTGGGGGGCTAAGAGGAGAATTCCGGAAGATGGGTGGGGTGTGTGAATGTCTCCTTAGGGCTAGGTCCACATCTGTGCAGGTTGGCAGGTTGCGGTTGATGTGTGTTGCATGTTTTGCATTTCTGAACAATTCTTTTTTTCAGCGTTTTTCCTTTCTAAAAGAGAAGGATGATTTTTCTGTTTATGTAGTGCCACTTTTCTGTGATTTTACACTCTCCGGCACTCAAGTAGCATCAAAGTCATATCAAAGTAGTGTAGGAACCTTTATGTGACCAAAGTCACATGTTAGGGTTAATGGTTAGGGTTAAGGGCAAGGGTTAGGGTTCAATATTAGGGTTAATGGCTATGGTTTGGGTTACGGGCAAGGGTTAGGGTTCAATACTAGGGTTAGGGATAATGGCTAGGGTTAGGGTTAAGGGCAAGGGTTAGGGTTCAATATTAGGGTTAATGGCTAAGGTTAGGGTTAAGGGCAAGGGTTCAATACTAGGGTTAATGCCTAGGGTTAGGGCTAAGGGTTAGGGTTCAATATTAGGGTTAGGGTTAATAGCTAGGGATAGGATTAAGGGCAAGGGTTAGAATTCAATATTAGGGTTAGGGTTAATGGCTAGGGTTAATGGCTAGGGTTAAGGGCAAGGGTTAAGGGTTCAATACTAGGGTTAGGGTTCATGGCTAGGGTTAAGGGCAAGGGTTAGGATTCAATACTAGGGTTAGGATTAATGGATAGGGTTAGGATTAAGGGCAAGGGTTAGGGTTCAATATAAGGGTTAGGGTTAATAGCTAGGGTTAGGATTAAGGACAAGGGTTCAATATTAGGGTTAGGGCTAATGGCTAGGGTTAGGATTAAGGGCAAGGGTTCAATACTAGGGTTAGGGTTAATGGCTAGAGTTAGGGTTAAGGACAAGGGTTAGGGTTCAATATTAGGGTTAATAGCTAGGGTTAGGGTTAAGGGCAAGGGTTAGGGTTCAATATTAGAGTTAATAGCTAGGGTTAGGGTTAAAGGCAAGGGTTAGGGTTCAATATTAGGGTTAGGGTTAATGGCTAAGTTTAGAGTTAAGGGCAAGGGTTAGGGTTCAATACTAGGGTTATTGGCTAGATTTAAGGGCTAGGGTTCAATATTAGGGTTAGGGTTAATAGCTAGGGTTAAGGTTAATGGCAAGGGTTAGGGTTCAATACTAGGGTTAGGGTTCAATATTAGGGTTAGGGTTAATGGCAAGGATTAGGGTTAAATACTAGGGTTAGGGTTCATGGCTAGGGTTAGGGTTAAGGGCAAGGGTTAGGGTTAATGGCTAAGGTTAGGGTTCAATACTAGGGTTAGGGTTCAATATTATGGTTAGGGTTACTAGCTAGGGTTAGGATTAAGGGCAAGGGTTAGGGTTCAATTTTAGGGTTAGGGTTAATGGTTAGAGTTAGGGTTAAGGGCAAGGGTTAGGGTTAATGGCTAGCGTTGGGGCTAAGGGCAAGGGTTAGGGTTCAATAATAGGACTAGGGTTAAGAGCTAGATTTAGGGTAAATGTTAGGGATAGGGGTTAAAATTTATGGTTAGAGTTAGAGGTCGGGTTAGGGTAAGCGGTAATCATTAGGGTTTCGGACTCTAACAATTACCTCTAACCCTAACATGCTACATAAAAGGTTCCTGCACTACTGTGATGCAACTTTGATGCTATTTGAGTGTAAAGTCGCATCAGAATCGCACTACATGAACAGAACTGTCATACTTTTCTATTAGCAAAAAAGCAACACTTGCGTTTTTGGTACGTGCCCATTGAAGTCCATTACATGCAAAACACAATCTGCTGCAGGAAAAAAAGTCCCTGGCCCTTTTAAAAAGAAACTCATGGGCTCAAAATGCACAGATGTGAACAAGCTCTGTAGGAAATCATGTTAGGGCTCATGTACACTGCAGCTGATAAACTCACGTTTAGGAGGTGTTCCACATTTTTTTCAGCAGCCCCTGAACTCTCCCTAATGTTTTCCTATGTGTCCATGTACACATCCTCATTTACAGTCATTTACAGTAGGTTGAAGTTTACAGTTGTTTTTTTGTACGCACCGAACTTGCGTTCAGGAGTAGATTTTATCAACGTTTCAAGCACCAAACGAGTGTAAACGCAGTTAACCGCGTTTATAAGTGTTTGCGTTTAGAAGCGTTTTTTTTAACTGTTCCATGTCCAGATGCTGTCCAGAGGCCTTTTTTCATCATCAGAAATGCATGCAAAGTGTTTTCCATGTATTCATATGGACCCGGTACACCAGTGCAGTCAGTTCCAGGTTTCGCGTGAAGAAACAAATGGTAGAACGTGCCGCATTATGATGGGATCTAGAGATGAGGGAATTTTTCAAAAATTCGATTCGGCTGATTCGGCGAATTCCAGGAAGAAATTTGATTCGATGCGAATTAATTCGCTACGAAGTTAACTTATAAAAAGGGTTTCTAGGCTTCAGAGAGCCTTTAAATTAGTGCAGAACACTGTACCTTTAATTTAAATGCCCTTGGAGATGAGGAAGGAGAAGGAGAAGGAGAAGGATGAGAAGAGAGAGAAGGAGAAGGATGAGAAGAAGGAGAAGGAGAAGGATGAGAAGAAGGAGAACGATGAGAGAAGAAGGATGAGAAGAAGGAGGAGGATGAGAAGAAGGAGAAGAGAGAGGAAGGAGAAGGAGAAGGATGAAGGAGGAGAAGGTGAAGGATGAGAAGAAGGAGAAGGAGAAGGATGAGAAGAAGGAGAAGGATGAGAAGAAGGATGAGAAGAAAGGAGAAGGAGAGAAGAGAAGGGAGAAGAAGGAGAAGAGAAGGATTGGAGAAGGAGAAGATGAGGATGAGAAGAGGAGAAGGGAAGGATGAGAAGAAGATGTAGAAGAAGGAGAAGGATGAGAAGAAGGAGAAGGAGAAGGATGAGAAGAAGGAGAAGGATGAGAGAAAGAAGGATGAGAAGAAGGAGAAGGATGAGAGAAGGATGAGAAGAAGGAGAAGGATGAGAAGAAGGAGAAGGATGAGAAGAAGGACAGTTCTGTGACAGTTTCTGTCTATTTCTGACAGTTGTGGGACATTCACTCCATACAAGCGGTTGAAACATTGTATCTATTTGTTTCCATAAATGACATTCTGCAGAAACACTTTTTGCCGGCTTGGAATTATTTCTTATTTTCATCCTACTTCTTCTTCATCCTCATCCTCATCCTCTTCTTCTTCTTCTGAGGATGAGGATGAAGAAGAAGTAGGATGAAAATAAGATTAATTCCAAGCCGGCAAAAAGTGTATGTGCAGAAGACGCTCCTCTAAGTGTTCTGCAAGAGCTCCTCTAAGTGTATCTGCAGAATAGAGGAACTCTGCACATACACTTTTTGCCGGCTTGGAATTATTCTTATTTTCATCCTACTTCTTCTTCTTCTTCTTCATCCTCATCCTCTTTTCTTCTTATGAGGATGAGGATGGAAGAAGTAGAAGAAGAAGAAGAGAAGTAGGATGAAAATAAGAATTCCAAACCGGCAAAAAGTGTATGTGCAGAGTTCCTCTATTTCTGACAGTTCTCTGACAGCTTCTTCACATTGTACAGCGGTTGAAACATCTGTATCCTAAATGGAAACTAATAGATACAATGTTTCAACCGCTGTACATGTGTTCCTTCTGTCAGAGAACTGTCAGAAAATAGCGGAGCTCTCTGCAGGTGGTTGGGGACACTTTTTTCGGACTGATCGGGGGAAAAAAAATCCGATTCGCGCACACCGAAGTAGGCAAATATTCGGATTCGACGCGAATCAAATTTTTCCTGAAATTCGTATCGAATTCCGGTTCGCCTGGTTCGATTCGCTCATCTCTAATGGGATCCATAGTGAATACAACCAGAAAAGACAGGTCATCTCAACACATACTGCTCTCTCTGCTTCTACTCTCTCTATCCTCTCTCAAATGTCTTGTGTTTTTCAGTGCATTTTGGGCATCTGAGAAGTTCTCCTGAGGCTATCTTTTAAAAAAGCTTCCAAACATAAACACGCATAAACACGGTATGCAAACATGGTTAAACTGATGTTTCTTAAAAACCTACGTTTTCCAGCAGTCAGTTTCCATCGTTCAGAAGAGTTTTCCAAACGCCCCGTGTACATGAGCCCTTTAATGGACTGTAGTGCAAACTGGAAAATACACTGAATTTCACATAAGTGTGAACCTAGGGTTAGAGCAAGTGAAATAAATCTATGCAGGTATGGTCCCTGTATCTCTTTTTGCCCTGGTGACCATTATTATTACAGGTACTTATATAATGCTGACAAATCATGGGGCCCCCGGGCAATAGGGGATCATGGGGCCCCTGTGTCCTTGCCCAAACTCAAAAAAGCCTATGAAAAAAGGTACCAGGGGCATCTCATGGGGCCCCCTTCTGACCCCGAGCCCTCAGGCAGTGCCTGAGAGTTTCCAAATGGTCAGTCCACCCCTGAGCGCTTTACATATATATTGTACATTCACATCAGTCCCTAACCCTCAAGGGGCGTACAATCTAAGGTCCAGAACTCATACTCATACATACACATACTAGGGCCAACAAACCTACCAGCATGTCTTTGGAGTGTGGGAGGTGTACTTGGAGGAAACCCACACAGGTACAGGGAGAACATGCAAACTCCAGGCAGGTGGTGCTGTGGTTGGGATCTGAACCAACAACCTTAGCACTGCCAGGTGGAAGTACTAACCATTTAGCCACTGTGCTGCCCATAATTTTCCTCCTCTGGAGTTCCCATAAAGTGAGTTGCTGCACGAAGCATTTAGAGAAAGACAAAAGCAATAATTACAGAAAAATGATGCTCCAGCATCAAACAAGCAATAGATATCTGAATATTAGGAAGAAGAGATATGTTCTCACAGGGTGCTGCTTTTAATCTCCACTGTCCACATTCCAACAGATACAACCAGCCCAGGCCCAAGGCAACTCAGACTTCCAGGAGAGCTTCCTGGTGAAGTCCCCAGCAAAGGCACAATAAACAGACTACAGATAGAAAACATGTATCCGCTATTGAATCCTCAGTAAGAGGTGGGGTATTAAACAGGTTTATACGGCTTAGGAATGGGATTTATTTGCATCAGAAAAGTCTTAAACAAAGTGATGTTGTTAAGTTAACACTTTTAAGCATTTACAGGAGCTATAACATGCGTTGAGTTTTACCGAGGATAGGATTTTCCACATTATTTCTAATAATAACATCCAGACGGTAACATGCAATGGTCATAAAGTCTAAAAGAATTATTCCAGTTTACTGGTGCAGTATAACTTCTAGGGATGAGGTTCGGGTTCGGCGTTGCCATGGGCTTGTGGTGGATCCAGGCCGCATTCAAAATTCATGGTATGGGCAGCACAGTGGCTAAATGGTTAGTACTTCCGCCTGGCAGTACTCGGGTCGTTGGTTCGAATCCCAGCCACGGCACCACCTGCCTGGAGTTTGCATGTTCTCCCTGTGCCTGCGTGGGTTTCCTCCAGGTACTCTGGTTTCCTCCCACACTCCAAAGACATGCTGGAAGGTTAATTGGCTCCTGTCTAAATTGGCCCCAGTATGTGTGTATGTGTGAATAGTGTAGTTAGGGGGACCTTAGATTGTACGCCCCTTGAGGGTTAGGGACTGATGTGAATGTACAATATATATGTAAAGCGCTGCATAAATTGACGGCGCTATATAAGTACCTGAATAAATAAAAAAAATAAATGGTACCAGTGAATTAATGTGGAAACTTGCCTATGCAACCACAATGCACTGCCTTGACTTTGAGATTGGGACCTCTGGCTTAAAGGGGCCAATAAGAGGATAAGCCAGCCCCCTGACTATAAAGGGTGAGGTCACAGTAGCCATGTTGATGCAGCCAGGTTTTTGACTAAAAATAGAGAATGAGAGAAAACACTGGCTGCAGCTAATCTCTGTATCTGCTGCCCTGCGGTGCTGAACTGGTTAACAGCCATATTAGCAAGAGGAGGGGGAGGGAGCAGGAAGAGTTTAACCACTTTCTTGTCGCCCTATAGCAAAAATACTGCTACAGGATGGCAGGGCTGCACAAAATCACGTATATATGCGTGATTTTGTATTTCCATTGGCAGCCTCGGCTGTCAATCACTCGTTCCCGGCTGGTGATTCCCTGCTGGCATCCGGAGATCGCCGAGTATCACTGACGGGGGAGAGACCTATACAGATCCCTCCCCTGTCAGCTCCTGCACATTGCTTTGTATGGCTCTGCATAAGCAAATCCAAATGCAGAGCTCTGATGAAGAAGGGATGCCCTTTGAAACGCGTCAACCCCTATGATGTGACTCGCACAGGCTTCACATTTCTCACGTTCCTTTGAGGACTTACATGCTTGATTTACTTCGTTGTTTGTGAGTATCATTCTGAATTTAATAAAATTATGGTTTACTGAGGTAATGCGCAAGGTTGGTGCGCTTTCTTTTTGTTTCACTTTACAGTTTTAAGCAAATCCAAAGCCAAACAGAAGTTGTTAAGTCTTCATACTTTATTAGTTCTCATGCACACGGGATGTTTTTACAGCGGCTGTTTTTGGGTTTTGGTGTTCTCTATAACCAGTAAACCCCCCAGCATGTTATCCTATGTGTCCATTCACACATAGGCTTTAATCATAGGTTGTTGGAAGGGGTGTTTTTTGGCTGTAAAAAAGCTCTAACACTGGTAAATGTGTTTTTTTTTGGTGTAAAAGCGCTAAAAACCACAAACACGAAAAAACACATCTAAATGCTGCTAACCGCCAATGCAAAAACGCTAAAAAACACTGAAAAACCTGCGTTTTTAACGCGACTTTACAGAGCGAATGCTACCAGCATTATTAAAACGCCCCGTGTGCATGGAGCCTTAATTTCAAAGGGAAATTATTAAGATACAGCTATATTCAATGAAGACAACACAGCAAGGACTGGAACAAGACACAATGGCACATTAAAGTGACCAATAACGACAATAAAACTAAGTTAAAACTATACTTTAATAAACCATCCATGCTATACTATTAAAAAATACAACATAGAAGAAATAACACAAAAATAACAGAAAATCAAACTACCAAAATGCAAATACTATACCACTTTCTCTAGCATTACCCTAAATCATAGTTAACCTAATACCAACATACTATGAAAGCTACAGTTGCAAGAAAAAGTATGTGAACCCCTTGGGATTACGTGGAGTTTTGCATGAATTGGGCATAAAATGTGCTCTGAACGTCATCTAAGTCACAACAATAGAAGAACACAGTCTGCTGAACATAATACTACACAAACATTAGATGTTGCCATGGTTTAATTGTACATAACATGTAAACATTCACAGTGCAGGGAGGAAAAAGTATGTGAACCTTTGGACTTAATAACTGGTTGACCCTCCTTTGGCAGCAATAACCTCGACCAAACGTTTCCTGTAGTTGCAGATCAGACCTGCACAACGATCTGGAGTAATTTTGGACCACTCCTCTTCACAAAACTGTTTCAGTGTAGCAATATTCTTGGGATGTCTGGTGTGAATCGCTCTCTTAAGGTCATGCCACAGCATTTTTAATCGGGTTGAGGTCAGGACTCTGATTGGGCCACTCCAGAAGGCGTATTCTGTGCTGTTGCAGCCATTGTTTTGTTGAATTACTTGTGTGCTTTGGGTCATTGTCCTGTTGCATCACCATCCTCTGCGGAGCTTCAGTTGGTGGACAGATGGTCGTACGTTTTCCTGCAAAATGTCTTGATAAACTCTGGAATTCATTTTCCCATCAATGACAACAATCCGTCCAGGCCCTGAGGCAGCAAAGCAGCCCCAAACCATGATGCTCCCTCCGCCATGTTTTACAGTGGGGATGAGGTTTTGATGTTGGTGTGCTGTGCCTTTTTTTCTCCACACATAGTGTTTGTGTGTTCTTCCCAAACAACTCAATCTTGGTTTCATCTGTCCACAGTATATTTTGCCAGTAGTGCTGTGGAACATCCAGGTGCTCTTTTGCAAACTTCAAACGTGCTGCAATATTCTTTTTGGACAGCAATGGCTTCCTCCGTGGTGTCCTCCCATGTACTCCATTCTTGTTTAATGTTTTCCTTATTGTAGATGTGTCAACAAAAATGTTAGCATGTGCCAGAGGTTTCTGTAGGTCTTTAGCTGACACTCTGGGATTCTTCTTTACCTCATGCAGCATTCTGCGCTGTGCTCTTGCAGTCATTTTTACAGGACGACCACGCCTAGGGAGAGTAGCAACAGTGCTAAAACTTTCTCCATTTGTAGACAGTCTATCTTACCGTGGACACATGAACATCAAGGCTTTTGGAGATACTTTTGTAACCCTTTCCAGCTTCATGCAAGTCAACAATTCTTGATCTTAGGTCTTCTGAGAGCTCTTTTCTGCGAGGCATGGTTCACATCAGACAGTGCTTCTTGAAACCAGTAAACCCAAAATAGGTGTGTGTTTTTTAAGGGCGGGACAGCTGTCAGCAACACATCCAATATCATCACACTGATTGGAGTCAAGGTTGGCTCACTCCTGGCTCCAATTAGCTCTGGGAGAAGTCATTAAGCTAGGGCCTCACATACTTTTTCCTCCCTGCACTGTGAATGTTTACATGTTATGTGCAATTAAACCATGGCGACATCTAATGTTTGTGTAGTATTATGTTCAGCAGACTGTGTTCTTCTATTGTTGTGACTTAGATGACGTTCAGAGCACATTTTATGCCCATTTCATGCAAAACTCCACGTAATCCCAAGGGGTTCACATACTTTTTCTTGCAACTGTACATAAAAATCTGTTGCATAAACCAAATTAAATCCTAACCAGCACCCACAGAGAAGAATTGTATAATTGGATGGGCACAGGCAAAAACGATTTCTGTGGAGCATAGTGGCTGTTACACTCTGTTACTGATGGTACTCCCGCACACTGACCAGTGTATTGTACAGTGGTTGAAAGTTGTCCAAGATTGAATGTACCTTGAACAATATTGATCACCTATCACAGTGCCAGTCCAATAGAAAAAGCATAGACATGGGAAAGGCTGTGACAATACC